TAGTCTCTTAGTCAAGGCAAGCCTGTCTTGTTTGGAGAACGCTTGTATCTTGGCCTAAACCGCAGGACAGAGTCAAGGAACTAGGTCACTCTGCTCTCTGTACCCCGAAGATGATGAAGAATGATGAAGAGGGGGTCCCAAAAAGCCCCCCGACCCAATTCCAGGAGGTGGGCCAGGGGGTGGACCAGGCCAAAAGTTATAGGGTGGACACACTTGGGATTGGCCAGATATTGTTATAAATGTAACATCCCGGGCACAGCCCGGCGCGCACGTCGTGTAACATCTCTTTGCCTTGGCATAATTAAACCCTTTCTTATCTCACCCCAGCTAACGGCTCCTGAATTTTTTCGTAGCACCAGCTGAGCAGGCATCAGCTTCAAAAAGACCAAAACACTGTGATAAGACAAGCCACATTAAGAAAAAGTGACAACAAATAACACTACATGGGCATTAATTTCCTTCTAAGGATTTCTGTGTGCTAAGCAAAGATAAATTACCTTGGGCTAGTAATTGATAGACAATTTTTCCATTTGCCAAAGGAGAACAGTACTTTACTAAAGAAACTCGTCTATGGTCAGAATTCTGTAGTAAAACTATAGACTGAATTCATAGCTTGTTTATAAACCTAGTCTTTTGCTATATGCCCATCTTTCTTCCCCTTCATTTTTAATTTCAATTCTATGTTTGTGGGAATTGAATTTAAATAATTCAATCTTTCTAATCCAACTCTTTCTAATCTCAGTTTCTGCTCAAGGAAACTACCTATGAAATATGCTCTAACACTTTCTCCATCAACTGAAGTCAGAAGTAAACTGAGACCAACATGAGTCTTGTTTTCGAAGAGTGACACCTAGAGTCTCATCAGTAAAATTAAAATGTGCTCTTTCATTTGTCCAGTTTTAAAAAGCAAGAAACTTTCTTCCGTACTTATGACTTTGACTTGTCTGTTAAAGTTCTTTAATAGGAATTATTTTCCTATGTTCTTGCAAAGAAGCAGCACTGTATTTATTGCTAGGTAGCCTGCATATGGCATGTGTCACTTATCACAAAAATTTTATTTTGCAGATGCTATTTTTGCTTTTCATTCAGGAGTGTTTAATTGGTTTGGAAATGTGATTTTCATTACTGCATGAAGGGATACATCATGTCCAGAAGTGCTCTCATTTTATAGACAAGGTGACTAAGAGTGGAAAGTGTCCTAAGCCATATGGAAAACTAGGGCTAAAATACACAAGTCCTGAGCTTTTATGTCATAAAATAACTTGATTTCTTTGTCAGACGAGTGCAGGCAACTAGCCTGAGCCTTGCTGCAGCCTGACCTCAACCCCCTGCTGCAGGAGGTCTGCTGATTGCTGCAGTCACTGCAGGGCTGACCTCTATGCATGCAGCACAGTGGGGAAGAAGTTGTTACTTGCCCTTTTCAAGGTTCATCTGCCTCTTCATGTGTCATCCACTGACTGGATGTGGTAGCTCAGCAAAATTTCCACAAGAAAAATCCTTGGCAACCTGAATCACTGGAAACCACTGCCCATGGACCCTCTCAATTAAATGTAGCAGTTTTTCCTGTTTGCAGGAGTCACTGGCTCTCTTCTGTGACAGAAAAGGAGCAGTGCCTTCAGCCATAGGGGCCCCCAGATCCCAGCTACTGCTCACTTACAGTGGCAATGACTGGACAGTGATGTCTGATGAAGGCTGGTGAAACCATGCCCATGGTCAATTTTCTCTTCCATACACAAGAGTTTGGACAAAAACCATTAAAATCAAGAGCAGACCTGAACTTCACAAACAAATGGGTGAGTTGTGTGAATAAATGCATGAAAAAGGACATTGTGTTGATTGAAAATTAAATTACGTGCTCAAAAAAGACCATGACATTAAATGTATAACCTTTATCACTGCCTATCTAATTAACCATTTTGTTTTCAATCGAAAAAAATTATTTTGTGTAGCAATCTCCTTCTATTAGTTAGACATTTACCCTGACATTTGCAAGCTGATGTTGAATATTGACTCCACAGGACAGTGGGACTACAATGTAGTTGTTTGTCTGCAGGACAAACATTTGAAATCATGGAGTTATGCTCTTAGGGGTGAGCAAGTGAATATACACTCAGGCAGCCATACCTTCCTTTCCTGGGGTTCCCCTGCTGCCCAGCTCACCATGGAACAACCGTCACACTACGGGAAACATTCGGGCTCCTGCTCCAGCCATGTGTGGCCAGGATGGGCCCTGCACTTTAGGACAGTGGTGTCCTGCATGTGGCAAGGTCTGTCTCTGCAGTCTCCTGTTAATTAAAGCACTGGGCCAGCTTTTTCTGTTTCTTCTCCCTGAACGTGCTATTTTGGCAACAATAGGCTTCATGAATTCTAGAAGAGTGAGTGAGAAATGTGTTTTGGTCTTGTTAGCCTCCTAGGTCTCATCTTACTGTGTAAAGGAGAGAGTTTCAAATCACCAAAAAAAGGAAATGCAATAAGATCTAAATAATTTGGAAATGATTCCTCAGAGCCAGGAATGTTATGTTCAGACTTTTGTTTATAGTATAGTTTGTTCAAATAAAATACAGTTGCCTGGTAAGGTACTGCAACAAAACCTAGTGTGCCATATACTGTAACTCCCTCTAGTAATAAAATACAAATAATGAAACAATACGACATCTTATAAAACAGATGAGTAAATCTGTGTCTCATTGCTAAACATGCAAGGCATTCAATTGGAGCTGGTATTCCTCTGGAATAAGAGGTATAAGGTAGTTTTTATCTCCTCACCTGTGCCTTTTATATATTAGTCTGTGTATGTTGTGGATTGGCAGGTCCCTCTAAAATTTAAAAATCACTGGTAGGGCGGCACATTATGTTTGATGTCTCAGGGAGTAAGAACATATATGCATAAGAACATTTTTGTTAGAAATCTCTATTATCCTTCACAAGGAAAAGGTTTAAATTTTTAGCGCCAAGGAACAATTTTAGTAGATTATATGTTACTCTTTGGTTGGGTTCCTTTATCTTTTTCTTTTAATTGTGGGGGGTTTGTGAATTATTTACTGACTAGCTTTTATAGGACAGTTTACAACTGAATTTGTCTGACAAAATATTCTTGCTCTTCTCTTCTACTTCTACCATGGGCACCTGGGCAGTCTATTCCCAAGCTCTGTCCTTTTAAGTCAGTGTCTGAGGAACATGGAGATCAAAGAGGATGTGAAAATCATATAGCTAAAAAAAACATGAACTCTGCATAGAGAAGATTTCAGTCACTATCTGACTCGTTATGTGAGGTGTGACATTGGTTTATTCATGCATCCTATTTCTTTTTGTCTGCATAACTGATTTCCCATCTTCAGAAGAGCAACAAGCAATGGAATTTATCTGAGAATTGTCTATATCAGAGACTGTATGAGGTTTTCCTCCTTTTAGAGTTCTTTGAATCAGCCCTTTTTTTTAATCAAACCTGTGAGATATGCATAATCAAGTGAAAACATGGTAAAAGAAGAAAACGTTCAACAAAGAGAAACTAGCGCGTATGTAAATTTCTTTATATAAGTGTTAGACCAAACCACCTCCGGTGTTTATCCCAATGCATTAACAGGTGCGTCTAGTCAGGTCCCCTGAACTGAGGTATTTAATATGTGATGACTGAAATCAACACAGAGACATCAGGGGGTCCCTGCAAAAGATATGTGCGAGTGCCACAGCACTGATTGCTGAACTCTGGAATACACTGAGCACATGAAGTGCACACTGTTTTTGCTTGTCCCAGTACCATAGTCAGTCAGAAAGCATTTCCAAAGACCATCCACCATTGTACTTTGTCCAATATTTCAACATGTAACTAACATGATTCTTTGACGTTAAAGTAACCTGAAGCAGTTTATGAGGCATCAGAAAGGACAAGTCACACACAGTTTGCAGACAAGGAGAGGTGAGGTGGGGTTGTAAGGAACTGCTAGGATACAGGTTGGCGACAGAAGCAGGTCACAAGCTGGGTTTATTCATAGCTTTTCCCTTTCTCCCCTCCAGGACGCTGGGCAGTGATTTGCCAGTTTAAATAAGAGATGATGCTCTCCTCTCTCCTAAACCCTCACCAGCCACTAACAACTCACATCAACAGCCAACTAGCAGCAGTGGTGGCCCTTTCAGGAGTTCAGGAGTGAGAATAGTTAGGCTGTCTCCTACTGCTCTAGCTACCACAGGTAGCTAGCATCAACCCCAGAGAGTTTCTGAATGGTCCCTGAAGTAATGAAAATGAAGGTGTGCTGATCATAGCCCAGTTAGGGAGCAATTGGACCTCGGAATCAAAAGACCACCTGTCAGAAATCAACCAACACCCCTTGGCTGCAGAAGGCCACAATGCAAAGAGGAACTGGCTCAGGTTTGTTGATGTCAGCACACTGACGTACATATTCGATGCTCCTTACATAATAGAACTATGAGATTCGAAATTTTGTAGAATCTCAGCCCCACGGAAGTGCCAAACATACAGATTTGGGAATATGTTCATAATCCCAGTAAATATTCAAAAATATGAGAAAATTAGAAATCCGTCTTCATTCTGTACTGTATGAGAGACATTTTGGAAACCACTACCATCAACTTCCATAAATCTCTCTTAAACCTTTTTACAATCCTAGTCAAACCAATCCCTTTATTGTGTTTTCTGCATGTCTGATCTCATGTAGATCATGTGACAGCTGAAGGCCATGCACGAAACCTCAACCAAAGTTTTTACATTAATTGGTGTATGTTTATTAGGGAACAATTATTATCTTACATTAATAATAAAGATAAGCAGTATGTAATTATTTTTCTTATTTTTATATAGAATGGCTTGTGTATACTGTTATATATCTACAACAAAAAAAAACAAAAGAAATATAGCTTAGGGGAGGGATTTTCAAAACTGTTCCTCATTTACATGAACTATATTCACACAGCGTGACACAAGACATGGCTAAATCATGCCCATGGCACATGGGACATTGTGTCTGATCCTTACGGTAGCAGATTCCAAGTTAAGCTGGTGTGATGTGTTCGGGCGCTGCCTGTGTGGCAGCTGGCAGGCCGGCAGGCAGGATGAGGACAGCAGCATGCTGTAGCTTCTCCAGAGGCAGAACAGGCATAGCTGCTGTGCCAGGCTAACTGTGAACATTCATGAAAATCCCTCTTTACGCTGCTGTGTTACAGAGAATCTCCTTTCATAGGGCACAGTTACTGACAGACACATTACACGTCTGACTCTTGATTCATTTTCAGGCCTTTTGGGAAGGATCTGTTTTTAGCACAGCAGCAGCATGTTGTCTGTCACCACCTCATTCTTCATACGATGGTTTGTATGTAGGTCTGAATCCAGGGAAGGAGAATGTCCAGCTCATGTATGGCCTTGGAGATTCCCTTATCTCCGAGCTGTTGAGAAGATAAAGGCATTAGAAAAGAAACTACCTACAGCCCTGGAACAGCACAGAAGGGAGCCAGTGCCTACTGTTCTTACCTTAAAAAACATTCTCCTTAATTTTTTGACTGCAGAAGTTAACCTTGTGGATGGAGCACATGGAAGCTGAAGGATGAAAAGAAATCCAAAGATGCTGATGTAAAGAAATAGTGATGAAGAAGAATCGAACCCACAGTGTGGCACTATAGGGCTACCAGTAAAATGTGTGAACTCAGCATCATTTCCACTTCTCCCTCTACTTCAAATGTATTCTTTTAACTGCATGCTTCCTGCCAAGTTGAGTTCACAGCACAAAAAATTTGTAATGTGAGCTCCGTGGGTTTTCAAAGAGGAAGATACATTCTTTCGGGGGAAAAAATTGAAAAAACAGGCGTTTTCCAATCTACAAACAAGGATAACATGTTTGAAAAAGAAAAAGGCAAAGGTCCTCAACTGATATGGAAGGAAATAACTCCACTGAAATGGAGGGTCAGTCCTTTCTATCTCACACATAGTACTTTAAAAAGGAGCACAAACATTTTCAAGGTACCTTTTGTGCTTCCTAAAGGCACGTCACATGATGAAAGTGAAAATAAAAGCAAACATTTTTAAAAAATGTAAATAGAAGTAAATTTTTAAAAATCTTCTAACCAGGGCAGTTCTTTCTGACTTGGGGCTTTTTTTTTCTTGATTTTTTTTTTAAAGTCTGCTTGTAGGATGCAGATTTCCACAAAAAAAAAAAATTGGTAGCAGAACTGACCTTAAGTGAGTATGCTGGCTTTAGTGGTGATGCATATTACAAACTTGGTTCTTCCTGCATAAACAGGTAAATAAGTGAACTAGCAAGTTAGCTTAACTACTGCAAACAATACTTAATATCTGCTTAAATTCTACATCAATGAAAGAGAAATGATTTAAGATACTGCAGGGAACATATTGTCTTTCTACGCTCCACCCAAATATGAGAAAACACTTCCATAATCCACTACTGATGTAGGTACATAAGTCTGACCTCCAAAGCAACTTCATACAGTTCTCAGCAATGCTGAGTAGGGCACTTGAGTCAAGAGGTTAGTGCTGCTACAGGTGGATGTTCCCAGTATCCAAGGAAAAATGCCAGTTCCCTTTGCCATGTAATAATAATGGCCAGTCTTCATGAACAAAGATTTTGGGAAAGGTCTTTTACCTTTCCAGCCTGCGCAATGGATTTTTTAGGTGAGACACAGCTTGCGCTGAACTGAGCCCACCCTTTAATCCTAAGGTTCATCCGCCGGGGCCGCTGCGACCCAAGTTCGATTCCAGCTCCCCCGGGCAGGTGGAGCTCGTTAGCCCTGTGAGGCCATCCATCTATGAGAAGGTCACTCTAAACAAACCTACGTCCTGAGGACCTCACTGCCATTGTCCAAGCTCGCTTGGCCCTGGCAGATGAACCTTAGGACTAAAGGGTGGGCTCAGTTCAGCGCAAGCTGTGTCTCACCTAAAAAATCCATTGCGCAGGCTGGAAAGGTAAAAGACCTTTCCCAATCCTTTGCCATGTAGTCTTACACTAAATGAAAGAGTCTGATTTCACTGCGGAAAATGGGTTCAGAGATTTTAGAGTCTATGTATTTTTTAAAAACAGAACTTGGGCTCCTCTATCACCGGAAAATATTAAAGCTTCTTTGTCTGGACAAAACGTCTAGCAGGGTAAGAATCATAACATTGTAGTATAAAGTATTTGAAAGTAGTTTGGAGACAAATATTGTTAAGATATTTAAATAGCATGCATGTCTCTAGCTGGCTGAATTACACCCTGAGTTTGTGAAAGAGTATAGGGTGGATATATATTTACAAAGGTATCACTGTTATGCTTAATTATACAGAGAACTTTATCCTTGAAAGGTAACAAATTCATTACATAAGTATGTTGTCGTGGTGGAAATCCCTTCAGATAAAAATCTTATAACTCAACTACATAATAACCATTAAAGAGCTTATGTAGGTGGGTGAATGAGTGCTAATTTATTGAGGAATAATATGATGGAGAAATCTCAAGCTTGGTATTAGCAAAGGATCTAGTACTTTAATTCCATTCACAATTTCTATTATTCTTTCACATGTTTTTTTTTGTTGGGTTTAAATTAATATAAATTAATACAAAGAATTCAAGTTAGTTTCCAGAAATGAGATGTCTCCTAGAAAATCATGGCAAGCCATCATTTCTCAAAGAGCTACTGTTTTTCTACTACCAAGGGAAGACCTATCTCTCCTAGCAGCACTTTCTAAGATCCAGAAACACAAGTTGTTATGTTTAGACTTGTGTTGGGTAAAACACTGGCACTAATTATGAAAAAGAACACAAGAACTCTGAGAAATCTGCATCATTTTGTCTCCATACAGCACAGAAACAAATGTATTACTAAGCTGTCCAGCAAGCTACAGTCATTGGCGGTATTTTAAAATAACAGATATTCTGAATTCAGTCACAGTTGACAGTCTAAATTCCTCAGTGTGTACTGGCACTTGCATGGAGTGTAATTGCTTTTCCAGACAAGAATGAAATCTCTGTAAGTATATTATAGCATCTGGAATTATATTATAGCATTCTGGAGTTATAGTACAGCATTATCTGGAATTTTGACAGACACAGATAACCACAGCAGTATGATAAATGCTGTGAATAATGGCTGTAAATCGTAACTGTTTAGCATGGTTTTAAATGTAGAACCTGAAAACTGGTAAAGTTTTTCCCATTGGGATTTGAATCTTTTTACTTTATACAAATATCCCAGTTTTTACATTATACAAATATCTTCTGAGCTACAACTCTGCAAAGAGATCTCTGAAGTTGTTTATTCTTGCATAGCAAATTTTGTGTGAGCATAGAATCAATGTCCTTTTCTTTCATGCTACCATACAATTCAGATTAGACAAAGTTTAAATTCTTTTAATTCATAAACTTCACTAATTCATTGACTTCTCATCCTGCTCTCACTTTTTAAAATCACTATAGACATTTACCTGGATATCCATGGCTATATTTCACCCTAAGTCATGCTCCACTTTTTGGGACACTGTCACTTGTGAGGATTACAGGTTTAGGGAATTAAAAAAACATCCATAGGATATGTAAGTTGAAGACACACACTGTTGTTATTGGTCTACCATTAAAAATAAGATGAGAAATGATCGACAAGTATTGGCATCATCTTAGCATCCTACCTAGTATGTATATTTGCGTTGGCAAAAGTATCCTTTAACTGCTGTGTTTGAAAAAGTGCCTCCTCTCTGAGGCACCTGGTCCACTCTGGGGGCATTTTGCCAGTGGACATCATCACTTCCTGAAAACCTGCTCCAACTCTGGGCACAGGGGAACTGCTTCAATGTGCTTCCTAATTGTGGTTCCTGCTTACTGATGAGAGACACCACCAGTTCTTTCAAATTCATTATGGAGGAGCAGAGAGGACATATGAGTAAAGGCTGCACACTTCCAGTGAGAAGGCTGTTGAAGGAAAACATCACCAGTGTTACATCACGGAAACTTGAGGAGCCGCATCTCTCTCTGTGATCACCCTATCTCTTTGCAGCTTTGGTGATGAGAGGGCAGCACAAGGTGATATAATCAGTAGGGAAATGGCTTTCCTCCATGGGATCTCCACCACCTTGACCACTCCCCACAGGCTCACTCTGGGAAGAAACGAGCTGTGTTAAAATTCCCTGGCCCCAGTGGGGAAGCCCTCGTGAATTTGGGCCCTCTGTAGTGTGGGACACACCACGACTCTGAATCACCTATCTGCTGAAAAACTGAGAGGGAGTCCTTCCCTAACTTTTCAGATGGACAAAGTTAGTTTAGCTCTCTGGAATATACTCACACAGGCATCCATGTTCACTTGCAGGACCTGGAAGGCACTAATAATGTAAAACTTGTCTCTTCCTACCTCAAGATGACTGAAAACATTTTTCACATAGAAGGAGAGAAGCTGATCTCGAACACTGCAGTTTGTCTGAAAACAAATCAAGTGATGAGTTTCCAAATGAAAAACTCAGAAGTCAACTTTGGCTGAAAATTTCAGCCTCACAAAAATATGCATGTTTGGAAAGCACGCAATGAATAAAACCATTTTTATGTACTGTAGTATCCCCTTGTCCTGCTTTGTTTTTGAGCTACAACTAGCTCAATCTAGTTGTAGTTTCTGAAAGAAAGAGAGGAGGGTGTTGTGCTGGCAGGCACAGAAGTATTGGCATGGCCAACCATGAACAGAAATGACAGCAACAAATGTACTTAACACACAAAGAATAAATGGAAGATGAATTGAGAAGTTAAGTCAGACCATCTTGTTCAAATTGTAGGAGTCATTGTGGGTATCATTGTTCCATTCCTCCACATCACATCCAATGCCATTTGATATGCTGTAGGGTATCCTGCCCACCCCCAACTGCTGCTCCAGAAGAGACCAGTCATTCTGTCAACCCTGTGTCACATCTGCCTGGCCTGTGGCTCCTCTTGGAGAGACCAGTCATCCTGTCAACCCTGTGTCACACCCGCCTGGCCCAGCGGTTCTCTTGGGCACCCTAAGTTAATTCAAATTGATACACACCCTGTTTTTTCAGCAATAGAACCAAGTATCAGGTGTGAAATTCCCATCAGAAGGGTAATGCAACTGCATATTACACCACCCAAATGCAGATGTCCACATGTAGGTCCCACAGCCAGGTGAGGAGCCTTCACTCCCAAGGTAATCAGTGAAATCCAAGGGACACTGAAGACCAGTCGATCTGTACTTAAGGATAAACTGACTCAGTTGGCCCTGCTGACTAGATCTCTGCATGAAGAAAACTAAAATATCTCATACACTTGTAGTCACCTACAATTAGACACCCCAAAGTTTGTTTCTCACTCTCTTGCTGAGTCTTCCTGGGAACTCTGATCTCTCTCTTCCAGTGCACCTGCGGAGATCTAAGCTCAAAGCAGCTCCTTGGGTGTCCTGACTCTCTGCAGCATCCCTGGGCTATCCGTGGTACTGCACACCCTCACCTTCAGCTCCAGGACAGTGGCTGTGGCCCTGGCCCTCATGTGAATGGGTTGGTGCTTGAGAGCATTGCTGGGGAGGCTGGTGTGCAGCCAGGGGTTCACAGGAGGAGCAAATGCTACCATGAACACACTCATACCTGACACGACAAACACTCTCACCCCAACTTCCTTGACAAAGCACCACTGCAACTACCTAGAAAGAAGTGCCTCCAGGTAGGCTTTCCAAATTCACCTCTTTCTCCCTGTACTGTGATCAACTGTCCCCTCATGTCCTGTGAGAATATGTGGCATAGAAATAACACTCTTCCTCTAAGCAGAGGACTTGATTAAGCATATGGCTTTCATAAATGTCCATCTAATTACACACAAGCAATTTTTGCATCACCTGTAATTCCTTTTGATGACATATTCATGTCTCTATTGATAAAAGGAAAATCAAAATAAGAAACTGGAAAAACAGTATAAATCTTACCATAAACAGCATTTTTGTAGACTTTTTAAGCAGTCTTGTGGTCTTGATGAGATCCTTCTGTAAAATATAAAGTGCTAGTATTAATTAACCTGAGCAGAAGAAGGGAGACAGAATTTCAAGTCTAGTTTGTACAAAACTTAGTAGTAATAACAATAATCTTTATCATCCTTCATCAGGATGAGGACTCAGTAAATCTGTGTTCCAATCCTAGCCTAGCTACAAACTTCTTCCATGGCAAACTCATCCAGTCCCTCTGTGCATCTTCTATGCATCATTTTTTTTCGGCATTACAAAAGAAGTAGCTACGTTACCCTGTCTCTTAGGACTGTAGAGATCATTCAACTTCTTAAGGTTTCCAGGAGTTCAGTAATGAAACTGGTAAAGAAGCATCTATTAATAAAATAAACTTTTCAACTAGTGGGATCAACTTACAGGAACAGATGATTTTAAACTAGTTGCCTTGATATACAGGTTCTCTGTCACCTGGGAGAGGAGTTCTTTTCTGCAGGTATGCTTTCCTGTAGGTGACTTTTTGCCTTCCACAGTGAAAAGACAAAGCAGAAATAAAAAATGCCCAGATCTGAAAATAGAACATATTTTCATCTTTGCTCCCAAATCTTCGTGCCTCTACAGTCACAGCAGCATATGTGACACAGTCAAACTCTTAGATGACAGAGGTTAACCTAATTTTGTTAACCCTCAAAGCAGCTTCTGCACCAAGATGCTCACATAGATAACCTATTGCTCATGTGGTGGCTGATCAGTGCTCTTGCTGTGCTTTTTTATACATCTTGCTCCACTTTCAATAAATTTGACCACAATCATCTCTGACGTTTTTCTAAACGGTATCTCCGTATTTACTGGCAGCAGGGTCAATGTTTCCAAGAAAGAAGAACTTCCCTATCATGTGATAAGCCTTCTTTCATTTAAGTGGTGGTCAAGTGAGGAAAAGGTAGTTGAGTGTTAGTTTGGTTTCATAACAAAATATACCAAATGCGTGTTTTTGAGTTTTTTTTATTTTCCCACAAAACATTATGGCAGCACTTTTCTGAACGGTAATGGCCCAAAGAGAAAAAAAAAATCTTTGTTAATTTATTCTGAAAAGCATTAGAAAATCTGTTATCTATAAGGAAGCTGGACTGCACTGCCTTTAAAACTTCATTGTTCAGTTTTTGAGAAGCATCTTTTTCAGGGGCACTGCAGGTAATAGCAAGGGTGTTAGCTGCCTGTTTTAATGTCTGTAATTAACTTTTTGCCAGGGCAGGATTTGGCCCAGTAGGAGCAGTAGGATGTTTAATGTGAAAGGGAGGGCTCCAGGGAGCAAGGGCCAGAGCATCCCTGGCTATCAAGTCAATTTAAAAGCCCACTGAGAGATATAGGCACTGGGAAATAATCCCAGTGCAAGATCCCAACATACCCATCACAGAGGTGGTAAAAGTAAAACCATAGAATCAGATGATCACTCTTCTACATAGGTGCTAAACAGAGATTGGACAGTCTATCTCTCTGGCCTGTTTCCAAGATAGCCAAATGCTGAGGGATTCTCAGATATCACTCCAGACATGCAAGAACATCACTCCAAGGATAGACTTGGAAATCACAAAGTAACACCAGCAATGTGAGGCTGTTAAAGCCAAGGAGGGTTGTAAGCCAAATGTCAAGATCCCTGGAACTGGCTGAGGTTTGTGCAAGAAGAGGAAGAAAGCAGGTTTTGGTCTAACACAACAATACTTCCCTGATACCATTTTTGTTGGAAGCAAAAACAAGCCCTTGAAATGTTCACCAAGGACAGAGTTTTCTACTCTTTTAATGTTTTAAGAGCAACACAGAAGGCCTTAAAGAGATCAGAGAAAATAGTTTCAACTGCAACTGAAATGACTCAAAGGGACCATGATTTGCCAGATTCAGTGGCAGAGCTGTATGTCCCTCTATGGCACCACCAGTGTGCCAGTGCCAGGGACATTGTCAGCTCTGGAAGGAAGAAGGGTGAGACAAGCTGGGTAATGAACTCACCCCAGCCTTGATCCCACTGACCATTTACACAAACAAGCATGCATGCATTCTCCAGGCCAAGCTTGACTCACATTCAGCTTCAAGGATCCCACCTGTAACAGCTCTGGGAAATGCATTTTTCCATAGAACCATCTACACATCATAGTAGCTTCATCAGCACTGAAGTTCTGATGGGGTCGATGGACAAAAAGAACCAACGAGGGGAAGAGAGATTAGACTTTGGAAAGTGAAGTTGACGGAGACCTGAGGCTCTATGTGCATTATAGTGCTTGTGTGAACTGTGGTCTGTATTTAAATTCTCTGAATGCCGGTAAGGCTTGCCAGGTGAGGTGCAGTAAACCTCAGCACACATGGTATATGGACAGAAGATTAGCCACTTACTCCTAATTTGTTCATAGAAGAGGATCTTGGGTGAAAACAGTAGAGTTAGAATGCAACACTGTCTTGGGTTTCCCAAGGTGTGGTACTCCTCAGTCAACAGTTTTCATCTAAATGGAATAAATGGGTCATGTAAACAGTCTGTAATAGCTTTTTATAAGAAAATCAATAATTTTCAACATCTCTGAAACTTCTGATATTGCTGAAAACCCTTGAGCCCACAAGTTTCATTTTGTCTCTTCTTTGAACTCATACCACCATGCTCACGTGGCTGGAGCAGTGACACTTGCATTGGGCTCTAGACACCTCTGCACGTGAAACAGTACACATATTACTGAATTAGTAAACTTTTCAACTGAGTGGTGTAAAAGGATGCAATTGCATTGTGACCTTACTTAAAAAAATTAATAAATAAAAAGGAAATAGGGCTTTCCTATGTTTCCTTTCATAAAAGAGTGGTGGCTAGTATTTAATAACCACAATTTTTGATATGCTGATTTAATTTCTAGTCAAAAAATAGCCAATATTCTTCAAATTTTTCATGTGTTATTTGTTCAGAACAAAGATGGTCTTGTCTTTCTGGGGCTTGTGTAGCACTTTGTACACTATGTTTTACTGCCACTTAGGCACTCAGACATAGTTATGGTATAAACTATATAGAATACCAAAGAACCCATATTACTCAGTATTTTAAAGTTATAAGAAGCAGAAGAAACAAATTCAGGGACCAGCTCTTTTAGCAATGAAGACAGAAAATACCTGCAAAGCTTTGCATATGCAGTGGAACTGATGTATCCAGAGATAGTCTGAGACAACAACAAAGCACATCACAAAGCAAGTTGGCTTCCAGACCTGGGCTGGAAACCACAGGAGTTCGAGAAGCCTGCCCCAGAGGAAATGGGCTCTCTCTCATATGGAAAATTTTAGATGTACAGTATCAACTAGTAATTAAGGAACAATTCAATACTGATAACACAAGCAAAGTTCATGTGTTATGTATATATAAAATGTGTAAAGCTTATAATCATGAGAATGAAAGAGAAAGAAAATAACTTAGAAAAAAATAAGAAAAGTTAACAGAGCAGCCAGCTTATTAAATAAGAAAATCTTGCCTGATTTACCCTGGGTAGTGATTAAGTTTCGAAGAAGGCTATGATGACCTATGATCCACATGAGTGCATGAGACCACCAGCCTGAAGAAGATCCTTTCTTCACTGTCTTATTGTGAACCACGGAATTGTCTTGATCTACATGACTCCAGTAGGTATTATTAATATTAAATTCTCTTGATTTATGTAGAATGAACAGATACATCTACCACTGCTGCAAAGTTCCATTAGTCCATTTAAGGTAACAATCATGTCTGCTGGTGGTTTTGGAACTTAAATGGCTTTCTAATCTCCATCCATAAAAAGCCCAGTCTAGTTTCTTACTTATGAATCTTCTCACTTTTCACATTTTGTGTTTATTTCATTTCCTGTTAGTATAACTAGGACTAAATTAGTCGTGTACTTCCTATAAATATTACTCATATTTGCTTAGCTGCTGTTAATATTGTGCTGTCTCTTAAGACTATTCTCTACTATTTGTATTGTTCCCTTATCCTGTTTGATTCACTTTGGTCTTCTGAAAAATAAGAGGTCTACATGAAGAGCTGCAGTATTTGTCTTCAGAAATGTGATTTGATAAGTAAAAAATAAGTTTAGTGAGATTTTACGAAAACTGAGCATGACGACACCACTGTTAGGACATAAGAAAATTGAGATACCATAGTGCCTCCGTTGGAGAGAGAAGTTTGGATCAGAGAAGCTCCCAGCATTCAAAACTGATTCTGCAATTTTCTGAAAATGGTTGTAATGAATATAGGCATGTAGGTAAGCCCTCCATACCCACCAGTGTTTAACCTCTGTTTCTTGTAACCTTCTATTAGTATAATAGGAACCTTTGGAGCTGCTACAGACTTTGTACAATTACTGAACTATTATAAGCCAATTTTTCAGACAAAGGTTCCTAAATTACCCATGCAAACTCAGCACATAGGCACCTGATAATTCACTGCCAGCAGCTTCAATAGTCATAAAAGTCAGAGGAACAACAGAATAACACAAACAGATGGTATTAGCAGCTCCAGCTTACATATTATACATACACTGGTCTGGTTAGGAAAAAAACTCCATATATATGAAATTGGGACACTGAAAAGAAAACTAAAAACTTTGAATGCCTAGGACTGGATGTCAGTCTGGTGCCTTTCCCATCCTTAAACACAAAATCCCTATGTTTGTTCTCATGACACACCTACATTACATTGTGCCTGTCTAGGTGCTCCTCAACTGCCTTTGTTGAGGAGTAACAAAGGTTTAGGTCAGAAGTGACCTCTGGAGGTCATCTTGTCCAACACTCCTGTTCAAGAAGGGCCACCTACAGTTGTTTGCCTGGAAGTGTGTCCAGTTAGGGTTTGAATACCTCCAAAGATAAGACTCCACAACTTCTCTGGTCAACCTGTGCCAACTTTTGGTCACCTTCACAGCAAAAAACTGTCTTACTATGTTCAGATGGATTTTCATGGATTTTAATTTGTGCCTACTGCCTCTTGTCCTGTCACAGGGCACCACTGAGAGGAGATTGTCTCTCTTCTTTACTTCCCCTTCTCAGGCATTTATGCACATTGGTAAGATCTCCCTGACTCTACCCCAAGTGGAATAATTCCATCTCTCACTGCCTCACCTCAGATGACAGATAGTCCAGTCCCTTATTTATCTCTGTGCTACTTCACCATCTAATATTTAATTACACATCTAATGCACTCGGAATTTTTTCACTCTATGCCTTAGACAAGCTTCATAAAAATTTTAAGATATTAAGTAAAGCAGAAATCAGACTCAAACCCAGATGAAGAAGACAAACCAAACCAACCCATACCAAAGCACATTAAAAAAAAATCCCAATTACATTTCTTCTGGGCATTTGCATTTCTTCGCACTTTATTAATAACAACTTTTGAGTAAGCTTCAAATGTGAGTTGGTGTAAAACATACTGTCTATCTGCTCTCATCCTCAAGGAAAAGCACAGACTGATTCAAGTGGTGGATCTCCCAGTGCTACTGGCCTGCTGTGTTGTTTCAGTTTGGTGATAGGTGGCCAAAAATTGTCTGTCAAGCTACTTTTACTTCAGGCATCTGATAGGAAGGTTCAGTACATTCAGTTTTTTCAGAGGCAGATTACAGAATATACTGAGAGTCCAGCTTGAAAACACCAAGATACTAAAATTTTGCCTCTGTGCAAAGAAATAGGCAACAGTTCAAGTTCTCTAAGCATTAGCACTTTTCATGGCCAGGAATTAACTGCTTTGAAAGAATGTGCAGCACTACCTGTATAATTCAAGATACTTTTCAAATGTCCAGTTATGTAGTTAAAAATTAGCGATCACTTCATGGCTGGACAAGGAGACAAATTTGACGTAAAACCCTTCTGTATATAGCTTTTACTATTCACATTCTTGTAGACTTACATTTGAGAAGAGATATTATGAAAGAAACAGATACGAAAGTGTTTGAGCATGTTCACGTTGTTCCCATTAACAAGTCAAGTGATCTCACTTAGCTACAGTGATTCAGTCCCCGAACTCTTCAGAAAACATTCGTCTGCCACCATCAAACTCACTCCCTGTACAGCAGTATTACTACAGAGTGTACAGATGTGTTCAGCAACAACAGACAGCTCAGCTTACCCAGTGTAGGCAGGTGGCTATTCCAAACTCCAATCTCTTGTGGTGTACAGGAGTGTTTGAGAGTCTGTGACCTGCTTTCTCTTGTAATGTCGTCATGGCTTTATAAAAGGGTTGTACTAAAATTAGGAAAGGAAAAAGCCAACCACATGAAAATCTGGGCTCAGTTCTGGGGGAGGAGGATGTCCGCAGCTGCTAGGCTGGTAGAAGTATGTCAGTTTGCATGGCACCACTCCTATACTGGAAAGTTCTCTCTCCTACCTTTGTGCACCATTTTTTGGTTTTCTCTCTCCTCATGACTTTTTTTAACCTTTCTTGCTTCTCTTTTCAGTTTTGTTTAAAGGTTTTTTTCCTTCTCTGTTCTTTTAACCCAGGACATCTCTGAGCATCTTGGCAATGCCAACACAGGCTGCCCATGAAGCTTTATGAGCAACATCAACTGGGAGACTGTGAAGCTACAGAAACTACAGTCCCCATCCTGGAAAGATTTCTTGGTGTTGGTAAAGAACATTATTTAAGACATGAACTGAGTTGACTGTTCAGAGGCAACTGTCTCCTGTAAGAAGCAAATTTTGAAATGTAATTTAAAAGAGTAATTTAAGAGAATTTCTGGACAACGTTCAGAAACTACAGTGATATGTTAGGACATACAGAGGTATAAGTAACCTAATCAGACATTGGTGAACAATACTGGCACTGAATCTCTCAGCTGACATGACAGGCAACAAATTGAACCATATTAAGAAAATCATTATAGTTGATCTTTATTGGACAAAATAGTCTTTCCTCAAAAAAACCCCAAACCAAACAAAAAACTATGCAGAAAAATGTTTGCTTGCAGTGTATGCCCATAGTTTCAGAAAAGAATTGAAGTCATCCATTTGGTTGGGAGCTAAAGCTTTTCTGTTCAGTGAAAGCTGAGTCCTAGCTTTAGCCTGCAAACTTTGAACACCAAAAAAACCTCCTGCACAGGAAAATGTGAAATACTTGCCAAGTCATCTCTCAGGACAGCTTTCTTACAAGTGAGATTTATACCAAAATCCTGGATGCTGTTGGTCTGACTGCTGCAGAATGGCTGCAGCCTTGATTCTCCAATGGTAGCAGCAAGAACAAAAGCAAGAGAAACAACAGTGTGGTAGGCAACAAAATGATTTTCCAGAGTATTTTTCCATTGGAAGTGCCATTCTCCTTCCAATGAACTTAAACCTTTCGGCAATAAATGTGTTTCCCTCTGTTATCTTTCCCTCATAAGCAGTCCTTGAGCTCTGAATAGTCTGTGACCTTCGGTCGAAGATTGCTGCCATGGGGCCATCTCCCCAGCTTTCATTCAATAATGCCTTCGTGTCTCCAGACTTCTCCACTTCCCACTGTGTATCTTCCTTCTTCGTGAAGTGGAGCTTTCAATGAACCTCATCAGTAGGGGCATTATGGGGGGAAAATTTATTTATTTAGTTATCAGATATGGTTACATCTGACACTTTTTTCCTAGAAATTATATAGGAGCCAAATAATGTTTTACTTATGAGAGATTCCAAAGCATGTTAAATAGTATGGCACAAGCCACTAGAGAAGTACCTGATGGTGCTATAAAATCTGAGTTTCATGTTTGCAGTATTTATAAAACAGAGATTATATTGTAAAGACTCATAAAAGTAATAGAAAAATAAAATATCACAAAATATAACTAGAAAGAAAGAACAGATACCAGAGATGTCAAAATATGCATTGAGATTCACACTTCAGATCAGGAAAATTTTGAGGTTTTTTTTACAATTAGAACGATGGGGAAACTTTAGGTTACCATCTAAAAGACAGCATTGCTTATTATCTTTGGCCTATTTTTAGGATTTACTTTTCACTTAATTTGTAGCACAATATGCAAAAACATGCACATCTGAAATTATGTAAATGTTTTAAAAAACATCTTCTTTTAGAGCTTCCTAAACAAAACAGAAATATTCCATCTCTTAATATTTGTAGATTTAGTAAGGTTTTCAGGGAACTCTCTTGTGCAAAACTACAAATAGAGACCTGAGCATTGAGTTTACAAATTCCCATATATCCAATAAATTTTGTAACTGTGATAGAAGTTTAAATCATCTAATATGCTTGTAGGAGTGAAGCAAAACTAATGAGTAAGTTCTTGATGTTCCCCATATGAAAATAGCTACTTTTAATTTTTTTTAAAATATAGTTTCCTGTAAACAACCAATGGAAACCTTTTTTTCTTTACAATTTAGTATCAGCACTAGGTTTTTCATTTTTTGAATTTCCAGGAGAAAGTCATACTTACATAGAAAAGCAGCAAAAACATTAAAAAAAATCCAGTAAAAAAGACCCTTCAGTCTTATTTAAAGCTTCAGAGCTACCATTTCCTACCAAAAAAAATTGTTTGCCATAATTTTTCTGACTGTTTGTATTCTTGGATCACCAGAAAGAGGCTGATTCCATGGGGTACTGTGTGGGCTGGAAAGTCACTTGGTAGCCTTGATTTTAATTACTTTTTTCACATCTCTAAGAAAAACTGTCAATTACTTGTACCAATTTCGGAAGAAGCTTTTATCAGTCTCCAAGTACACTCTTCAGGGGTTGTAAAAGGTTTCCTCACGTTTCCAGGTTTAGATTAGATTATTTGAAAGCAAATTTTTACGCATGAGAACTCTTTTTCTTGAGAAAAGGCACTTTTGTAGCAGATTTCCCTTCATTCAGCTTAGCAGCTCCATAAAAATCATATTTTTTGCCTTGATCTTCAGCCAACATGTTCCAAAACTCTCAGGCAAGCCCTGCAAAGTACCCCAGGTCTGAAATGTTTGCCCAAACCTCTGAATATACTAAGGTTTATTTTTACTAACCTGTCACTTCGGAAAAGCAAACTTTTTACTTATCATATACTCTTGTAACCACAGAGCAAGGAACAGGAGATAATTTACCAATTTACCACCTCTCTCTTATCTCAGTTCTGATAATGAGGTTACAGCATAAACCTAACCCTACCAGTCAAAACTTCATACTGCGGGTCTAAGAAATTCTCCAGTTTACTTTTCAGAAGTGCAGAAAAAATTAGTTGCTCCTGTCTTCCTATTTTCAGAGAAACCTCACATGTTCACCTCGCCTAAAAAATATTCTCTATTATTTATTCATTTCCAACATCAATGGGTTACCAACAGAAAATGAAGCCCATAATTGCAAGCACCAGTGGAAAACAGCTAAGAAATTAAAATCAAAATCCAACGCAGTTACATTCTTACTGCCAAAAGGTTTCCAAAGTAAAATGACACAAATCTGCTTGGTTTTACTTCTTTCACTTACTGGTAGGTTGACCAATGAGCAACATAACACCCTGAAGTCTATGCCTGGAATTTGTAAATCCCAACAATAGACCACCAGAAGTTGGATGTCTGAGTCTGTGCTGATTACCCAGGGCTGATGGAGGAAACCAGGCTCTCAGAGAACACCTCCCCTCACCTGCCCAACCTCCTTGCTGGTGGCAGGGTTAAGAGATGGGCTCTATGAGTGCCCGTGGGCAGCACCTCAGCATTTGCTATCTGGTTTTCTGGCATCAAAGCTGCGGCAGATGGCTGATACAGGCTACTACCAAGATGAGGGAAATATCTGGTGTTTTGGCAATTTGCAGGGTCAGAGTCTTGGTCACTGGTTTCTCTTCTGTTCCCAATATCTGCCCAGAAATCCCTGTCGTGTAACAACTGAAGCATTGGCAGATACTAAAATGAGAGCATGATGAATATTTTGAGCAGCTCCCTGTTTAGGAGCTTCAACCTCACATATCAAGTTAAACCAGCTATTCCATGTGCAAGTAATTGTCTTGCATTTTCTGAGCCACTTATGGGTCCCGTCAAACCAAGCAAGACACTTTCCTAAACTTAATGGAATCGCTGTTACATGCAGGAGGAATGATCACTGCGTTAATGTTAATGTGTTCGTAACAACAAAATAGTTATGTATAGTCATAGTCATATTTTTTGCCAAATTTTGCTTGACAAAGAGGCATTCTCCGTTTTTGAGTTACCAAAGTAAAAAATGCATCCAAGTTGATAATCCCTAAATCTGGGAATATCTAACTAAAACCTCAGTTATCCAATTTTCTTTGGTGATAGAATATGAAGAAGAGAGAATCTGAAATTTCTTCTCCTATTCAATACTACCAGGAGTCACAGTATAAAGCATAACTACTGAAGGAGAAGTTAGCCAAACCAGAAATTTTATAGACGTGTTTGATAAGAATTATTAACCTAAGACAAGGCCAGGTTAGTTTTATATATAATAATGGCCAGTCTTCGCGAACGAAGATTTTGGGAAAGGTCTTTTACCTTTCCAGCCTGCGCAATGGATTTTTTAGGTGAGACACAGCTTGCGCTGAACTGAGCCCACCCTTTAGTCCTAAGGTTCATCTGCCGGGGCCAAGCAAGCTTGGACAATGGCAGTGAGGTCCTCAGGACGTAGGTTTGTTTAGAGTGACCTTCTCATAGATGGATGGCCTCACAGGGCTAACGGGCTCCATCTGCCCGGGGGACCTGAAATCGAATCTGGGTCGCAGCAGTGAGAGTCCTGCATGCTAACCACTAGGCCACCAGGGGTCCCTCAGGACAGTTTTAGACCAACAATAAAAGATCACTGCAATGACAAGCAGCATCTAAACTTTATTTTGGAACCTCTACTTCCCAAATAAGTGTCAGTACAAGAGACTTTATGGAACAGACTTTTCATCAGAGCAGTGCAATTCATCGCTTCCATTTCAGCATCTGTGTTGAAATCTTCCATTTTTTATTTGTAATATAATTACCTTGATAAGCACATAAACTACAAGGCTGACCTTATACACTTTGAAGTCAATAAGAGTTTTCTTTCTATCTTCTGTGGAGCAGGACCAGATACTGGATAACCTAATCCAGTGGGGTGTTCTTACATGCCGAGGCCTAATGCAAAATACAAATCGGAAAGTCAATCTTCATGATTGCACAGTTTTTAGACTTTACCACAGACACAATTGCCCCATTCTTTTCACTTCTTAAT